CAGCCGCCTGCCGCGGAACACCGCAACTCGGTTGCCCGTAAAGATTTTGGCAGTCTTGTATGCCCTCGGCGTCGCCAACTTCCGCGCGGGGCAACCGCTTAAGTGTCCTTAATTTAATGTCGCGAAGTATCTAAACATGTGTATCATGCCAATGAAGAGGAAATGTTGTTTTTGCTCTCCAAAGCATTTAATCTAAGCACGTTTTCACACACACACACACAGTTTCCTATTGGCACTTTATTGTGACTACTTTCGTCGAGAAGGAATATTTGTAAAATAGTAAAATTCTTGTCGAACAACTAATGTACATATGTATGTAGATATATAGCATTTGAGTGTACGAGTATACATACAAAAGCAGTGCAAGACTGGCTGGACAGAAGTTTTGGCGTTCTTCCTCTTCTGTTCATGGATCAAATTCGCCGATTTAGGGAACGTGATGACAGGCCGAATAGATTCGTGAAGAATTGGCAATGCAATTTGTGGAGTCATCAAGTAGGCAACTAAACAAGCTTACTCTTGCGAAAGCAAGTCCCTTTGCCGGTTTTCAAAGCAAACAGTTTCTATTGAAAACTTTTACCAAACACCTACACACACACACACACACATATATATATATATATATATACTCAATCGCCCACAAGCGCACAATCTTTTCTCACCATATTTCAGACAATAGTAAAAGCTCATAAAATTCCTTTTAAGCTGTAAAATCATCATCAAAATACTCGCGCGTCCCCTTCACACCACCGCTCCGCACAATCACACAACCACACAACCACCCAGCCAACCAGCCAACCAGCCACACTGCATGCTGTCATCTCCAATAGTTGTATGCCTTTTTGGTTGTTTGTGGCAGGCAACAGGCAATAGGCAACATACATCGTCTGCTCACACCGCCAAACAGGCAAATCAATGTACATGTAACGTATGTATGTATGTATGTATGTACGTATATTCATGTGTGCAGCGGTGTTTGTGTTTGTGTTGGCATCAGCTGTTCGCTTGGGTTAACCAAGTTCGGCTTTGGTAAAAACAGCGCAGTACTCATATAGCACCGCAACCAGAGCGTCAGGGCGCAGTGCGCTATCGGCGAGTGCGGTGGGGGTGCGGGCAAAATAGCATTTGATGCACACGTACAAACAATAAACGATCCATACGATCGCGCAACAACGATATTGTTCAAGTCACGATTTATTCAAGGCACAGTTTCGTTGCGCCTTTTTACTTCCTTGCAACAAAAATAAACGCATAAACACTCACACACAGACAGTTAGCCAGCCAGCCAGCCAGCTAGGCAGCCGGGCAATACTGAAGTGAGCCAAGTAGCCGAGCTAAGCTTTGACGTTGCTTTTCTCTTGGCTGATGTTTTTTCTGCCTTTTTTCGTTTTATTTTCACCTTTCGATTATTCCTTCAGCTTTGTTTTTGTTGCATTACGTGTAGTACTGCCCATATGCGTCCGTATCGCAGCAGCATCTGTTGCTCTACTCCCATCTTACACTGATGTAATATACATACGTGCATATGTAAATGTGTGTGTGTGTGTGTGTGTACCTATTGATGAAGATACAGCGAAGAGATGAAGATGCAGCAGCCCGCTTAGGCCGCATCTCGAGTAACGATAATCGGCAATGCCGCAGCGTTGGCAGCGCAACGCGTACGTTCATTCGTTTGTGTGCTTGTTTTGTTGTTGTGCTACGAGTTGAGGAAAACAGATGTGCAGACCCGTTTTGGCTTAAATAGATTTGGATTTCGGCAACTCATTTTCGCACTATAAATCAGCAAATCGAATGGGAAACCACAAGAGACCAGCCAAAGTCAGAGTGGAGCGCTTGCGAATGGACGCAGAATAATTCACATTTCAATAGAAATCTTCTGAGAAGCTAGAAAAGCACAAAAATGCCTTAGATTATAATAAGAAAAAAATAAATAAATAAATAAAATATGAAAATAAAAGTACATAAATATTTGTCATTATTTTTGTACATACGTATATACATGTATCTTGAAACATATGTACATACATACATGACATATTTTTTAACAGCCAACACACCAACAACTGCCCACAACCATTACATAAACTCATATTACACATACATACATATGTATGTATGCGTGCTAACACTCGTATGTATGTAAAATGTAAGTAAGCAGGCTCTCGCTCTGCCTTCTCCCATGCCGGGTGGGGTATCAATAACCGAAAATGGGTGGACCTACAAAATATGTAATGGGAAAATGAATTCAACTCGGCTTGGCAAGCGGCAAGCGGCAGCGGTGAAAGAGGCAGAAACATGATTTAACGATTTTATAATATCTTCGCGTTGTTGTTGTTGTTGTTGTGGTTGTTGTTGTTGCTGTTGTTGCTGTTGCACTTTATTTCATTTTTGAGGGCCGTAACGGCGATTTGTTTATGAACGCGCTTACAACAACGCCTTTGTTTGTTTGTTTGTTTGTTTGCGTGCAAGTATATGTGTGTGCATGTGTGTGTGTGTGTGTGTGTGTGTGTAGTGGCTTAGTCGCAGTTGTACGATTGTTTGTTTTGATTGTTGCTGTTGTGCCGTGCGTGGCCTAGCGTTGCCACGCTTGATTGCATGTATGTATGGATGTTGCATGCACGTGTGTATGTGTGTATGTATGGGTGTTGTATGTTCGTGTGTATGTGCGTGGGTGTGTAATGTTTGTTTTAGCCATGTCTTACTCGTTGGTCAGCGCGTTTGTGACTTTTAATTTCAACGTTATCGAAATTGGCGTTTACTGTTGTTGTACATACATTTGCTGTTGGTGCCGCCGCGCCTCCACCGCATCTTGCAATCAATTTCTTCATACATTACATTTTTTCTTTTTCATATTTTTCCTTTTCTAATTTCGTTCAACTTTGTTTTGATTCACCGTTTCACAGGCAGCTACGCCTCGTTGCTGTTGTCCGCTGCGCACGCGCAAACGCTTGCTCCAATGGCCATTGTCTTTCAACAATTTTTCCCCATATTTTTATTAAATGTTTTGTTTTTGGCTGCTGGCAAAGCCCTTAGAGTAAAGTGGCCCACCGATGCCACACAACGAAACTGGTTTTCGGCCACAGCCGCCACCTCTTGGCAAGCCGCCTCCATCAACGTAAGCACGTTCCTCGCTTTGGCCTGGGAATTTTCTGATGTGCGCTACAAATTTCCAATTTATTCATTTTTTTCTTGAAGTATTTTTAAGCTTTTGCTTTGGTTGTTGTTTGCCTATACCATTAGCATAAGGATTCCGTAAGTATTTGGACCAGCAATTTACCAACTCCCTGCAAGCAGTCGCTTTATATTATATTTTTGGCTAGTCCAAACGCCTGTGCGCAGACTATATCAATAGCGGCGGTCCCATTATGCAATTTCTATGAATTATCTTTGATGGAGCTCTTGCTCCTTGCATATATTCGCACACGCATTTACAGACGAGCCCACCTACCCAAACAACTCGTGGCCTTACTCTGCCTGCCATGAACCATTTCCCCATAAAGTAATTCAAAATATTTAGGACATTCGAGAACAGATGGTTTCATCTGCAATTTATTCTCCAACGAATTAATTTCGCTGAGCGGTCTGGCTTACCAGCTCACTGGGTTAACTATGCATGCACTCGAATGTGCAGCCGAATAGAGTTGTTGCGTTTTATATTACCAACACGGGGTAATCGGGCAGCGGGAGTTGGGGTAGGAGTAGGAGCAGACGAGTAATGTTAGAAAATCGTTTGATTACACGCTGCAATGCGTTTTTCGGATTTTGCGCAGAGCTTTGCTCATTTGGCGCGCTCACTTACTTATTGTATATTGCAGAGCCAATGGCTACTAGGAAACCACAAAAGTCAGCACATACTACTGCACACGACCAAAGCTTGTCGTCCTTTTTCCTTTACATTTGCTTAATCGCCTTTCGTTTTTGCAATTTTTTTGTTTCCATTTTATGCACACATAAGTCCTCCAACTTATGAATCCTTGAGCAGCTCACAACAAAATGGCTTCAGCGGAACCTTCTCATTTTTCAAGACGTTTTTCTGCTATTTTATTTGGCCTCCTTCGGCGAATGGTGAACAGCGTAGAGCCCCGACTAAATGCAATTCCCATTCACCGTTAGGGCTCACAAATCAGAGTTTTGTATATTTTTCAAGTACAAAGAGGAAACGCATATGTACATACGTGTATACATGCATGTGAGAATTTGTGGTAATCAGCTTGTGCTGTCTGACTTAAGTGAACTCAGTGATTGATTTTTACGCTTGCACTTTCGGCGTCGGTTTCGTGCATTTGCAATCAGATATTTTCGGTCTAAGCTGCGTCTGGGGCAGCACGAAAAGGTCTTCTGAGATTTTCCTTAGTTTTTATATTTTTATATATTTATTTTTATTTTTTATTTTTTGGATTTTTATTTGTTGGAAAAACGTCAAGGAGCGCACCACAAGGAGAAGAGGAGCTTGACAGAAAATCCCTATCCAATATATGTATATGTAAACTTCATGGTATAATGAAACGAATCTATTTAGTCATGTCTGTGGATCTGTGTGTAAGACAACTCGAGTGCGAACTGAGAATTTTAATTAAACTTTGTTCAAACGTTCCGCGGGTAACAAGTACGCTATTACCCATATTACGGTAATCTTGAAATATGCGAGAATGCATGTCATATAAAATACTAGGTATCACAGAATTCGGTCACAATTTATACTTTAGTTCGCATGGTCTGGTTTGAACTCAAATTGACTTGATTCAAAATCGATCATTTGAGGCATTAATCAACATAACTCAACCAAATTTCAATCGGTACTAAAGTTCCATCAAAAATGGCTGAATGTGTGCAGAAAATAGATCTACTGCCCATATAACCGATCTGTGGCCTAAATATATATATCAGCCGATTTTCTAAATTTTGACTTTGGCCAAAGTTATTTTTCTGCCTTTCTTGTTACCATTGATTTACCCAACAGCTAACCCATATTCATCATTCCCTTTCATTTTTCGTTTTAGGCTGCAAGTCGTTCTTTAAGCGTTCGGTGCGGCGCAACTTAACCTACTCGTGTCGGGGGAGCAGAAATTGCCCGATCGATCAACACCATAGAAACCAATGCCAATATTGCCGTTTAAGAAAGTGCCTGAAAATGGGAATGCGACGCGAAGGTAAGCAACTAAGTATGCAATTTTATATTTAATATCTAGTTTATATAATTCAGAAATATATATGTATGTATATATATGTATGTATTTGTGCATATACAATATACATATATATACTATTTTATTAATATTATTATTATTTTATTTGTTCAATGAAATTCTTAAACGAAATACACAGGAAATAGATAGTTAGGGAGCATAATAAAAGATCACAATGTGTGCATGTGTGCGCGATTTGTTATAAATACAAATGAATTCGACTCGAAAACCCAGTGAAATGCCGCGAAAATGGCAAAAAATAAATAATTTATCAACAACATTCTACATATTTGAAAAGGGTCAATTAAAAGTCAAATATTGAGGCTGAGTAACACATATGTATGTATGTACATGTGTTTATGTATATATATATACGAGTATATATATATGTGTGTGTGTGTATGTATATGAAAAAGGGAGGAATTTTGGTAGATGAACGTCGCGACATGTAAAACGAGAGGCGCTAAGAGCGAACACAGCGAGAGAGCAGATATTTGGCGGAACGAAACGGAAGTGAAAAACAAACAAAATGACATATAAATATACAATTAAATTTAGCCAACATAAGAATGCTTTGGATTGATGAAATTGAGTTAACGAATTTATTATTCGGATTTTTTTTTTATATACAAATGTATGTATGTATGTTTGTATGTATGTACATGCAATACACATCAGCGCTGACATTAGCTAGCCATTGGCAGCTCACTTGCAGGAGGTGAGCGTACGCTCTGCATTCATTGGATGCCAAGTACGTACTATTGGCAAAGTTGCTTGCACCCGAGCAGAGGTGTGATCTTCAAAGAACCGGCGATAAATTTAGATTGGCGTATAAATATCGGACAGCTAGACAGAGCAGTTTAAATGAATTGCTTACAGGCAAACCCCGAAAGCAGTGCAAAAGGCATTCGAACGGCAGAATTGCATCTTCTTGTTGTTATAAGAATTTCGCTCTAATGAAAATTGTTGTATTTAATTTGTTGTTAAATTCAAAAAAAAAAAAACGGTATTTAATTTATACAATCAAAATTCTTTATTTTTTCTATATTTTTGCATAAATACATATAATCGTATTATCAATGAATGCAGCCATGTTGGCTTTGAAAAGCCCGCTTTAACGGTAAAACAATTTGGGCCAGCAATGCATTGAGGAATTTAATTGTTGTAAACAATTTAATTGATACTAAGCTGATCTAACTGCATAAACTCCGCTTGGAGGAAAAACCACTGAAATATGCACATAACAAATGTAATTTAGCCAAGTTGTTAAATTTATATTGGAAATATCTTTAGCATACAAAAAAAAAGAAAATGGTAAAAAAGCAGTTACAACTATTTCGCAAAGCAAAAAGTGCAAATCCAACACTACAAAAAAGGTAATTACTTACAACTACTTCATCTGGTGCCTCATTTTTCATTGAATGCTGCCACAACTAAATGCAACAAATTAATCGCGTTAACTTGCAAAAAACAAAAAATTTAACTAATTCAAGTTTAACTTAATATTTGTGCATAGGCATGTACGTGAAATTGCTCTATCTAATATACACGCAAAGCCAAGATTGCAAAAAAAAAAATGCTGCAATAAGCTGCACGCGGCCAATCGTCGCGGTGGTTCGTTAAAAAAGCAAACACAAATTACAAATATATTAAAAACATGTTAACAAATATACGCTGCGCTCAGTTGACAACGAATTTCTGCTCAACCAATGGCATTCATAAGACGAAAAACGAGACAATTCTACCTTTTGGGGGGCATAATTAAACGTCATGAAATTAATTAAACACGTGTGCTCTTAACGTGAACCCAACGTTGGCATTAACGCGCACATAGGAACACTTTGTTCTGCTGGAAACCCTGTAGGAAAAGCATTGGCTTTGCACAAAACTCGTTTCTTACCGAATTTGCATATTTTCAACTGACGCGGAGGTGCATGCGCAGCAGTTAATGACTCAGTTATGCGAACTTGAAAAGCTGAAAGAGAAAATTCAGACGCAGAATCCGGCATATCTCGATATGAAAAAAATTAAAATATTGAATTCTTTAAACCAAACGAGTCCTGGCTAGAGCAGAATAACTCTCGAAAGTAAAATTTTATGAAAAAGTTGCATCCTAATATAAGGAAGAAATTAAAATGAATTTAGTTCTTTTACAATAGTTTAATATGTGTAAAATATCACAGTGGCGTTTATTATTTTTTTTTTTTTACGTAAAAATATTCCGCTTAAAGTACTCGGACTCGAGACCTCAGATGACTAAGCTTTCACCCTACTCTTAGGGCAAAATATGAACAAATACGAAATATCAAATATTTTATGACACTAAAAATCTATATTCCAACTGACTTCTTGCGACAAGCGTGGATTAAATGTAATAAATACTTACAGTATCATAAGCTAATCCAACGTGAGTTTTTAGAGAAAAAAATAAATACAAAATAATTAATTAATAAAAAAATTATTAGTTACATTACAAGATTAAGGCAACTAGCAACAACCTGCCGATATTGTTCACATTACATCGCCAATCTGCCTGCAACCCAAATGTTCAAAGTTCAATGTCTGCGTAAATTAATTTAAACAAAAAAACAAAACAGACTAACTCAACATAATTTTTAAATTCCATATCGATTCATAATTAATAATGCAATGCATTTGCCACACGTTGGCCTAGTGTAATTAAATTGCGTCTAACTAACATGAAACAATTAGTTTTTGTATGCACATACACATGTGTCTCTAACTCCAGCATAGCGGAATTCATCAGCCGTCAACTGTCACTTTGCCATGGTTGCATGCACTGTTTGACAATTGTGTTGTCACATTTGACAGCCAAGCAACTTATTCTACCGCTGCTGATGTTAAAAATTCATAAATATTTGCAAAAAAAAAAAAAAATTGTATGCATTAAGGTGCTGTCAGACACAGTATTTTTTTATTTCATTCAACGCATTTTGCTGTCAAAAAACTTTGTTTGCGCCGAAACTCCTATTACAATTTTTCTTTCGCTTCAAAATGCTGTCAAAGAATTTGATTATTGTCGAAGAAGAAAGGAAAATATTGGTTCAGTAAATAGTAGTCCATTATTTGTCCAATAGATAGCGTTATTTAGCTGTATCTCGTATAAGGTCGATCGGGTCCCACAAGATGGCGTAAGAAAGATGACATTTTGATAAAATCATGGAAAAGATAATAAATAAACCAATCAATTTTATGCAAAAATAATGGACTTCTTTTTACTACGCCTAATAATTGTGAGGTAAACTAATTTTCAAAAATTTCATACTCTTGAAATTAGTTTCGGAAATTTTCGGTTTTGAGAAGTAACTCGAAATCATTCACTTGCTGTGTCTGATAGCACCTTAACAATGTTAGATATGTTTGTACATGCTCGTATGTACGCATACATTTGTATGCATAAAAGCGTATCTGCATTGCCATTGGCATACATGCAACCCGCTCAACATGCTTTTAATGCTTAATTATTTGCTATTAAAAATCAACTTGGTGCTTTTTATGACATTTTCGTCGTCAATTTGTTCAATTCCCTTTAGTTTTACTTTTTACAATAACTGCGAATATTTGCGGTTGTAAATGCCTCTATGTATAAATACATATTCACAAACGAGTAAATATGTAAGTTGTGATTTTAGTTATGAATTTTTGTTGGCTTCCTAAAACTAAACACCAGTTTGGCTTAAGAGCCGCTTAGCTCGTCTACTTCTCATTATGAACTTGTTGACTTTGACAACGTCACAACGGTTTTGTGTGTCTCGTCTAAACGATCGAGCATCGATTGCAGTCGGCAGTTGCTCTGGCAGTGGCCCGTAGTAATTATGCAGCTGTCATTGGCTATAACAATCTTTGTCAATCACCGATTACACTCGGAAAAATCAGCAGTAGAAATTTTTTTTATTTATTTATTTTTTTTTAATATAGAACTTTTTACCGTTATATGAAAAAAATTTGGCTCTAACGAGACATAAACAAGATAGAAGTGCTCGTTATTTATTGTATTGCTTGCTCTTTTAGGGTTTTTTACCTGAAACTCTTATTTCTATATCGAAAGTTTGGATGAAAAATCTTAAAAACTGGGCGGACAGACAGACGCATCTGGCAAAATCTACTCAGCTCGTCGTTCTGAGCCGATTGAAGTACCTTCATGAAAAGCAAACAACTGGAACTGATGCACAAAAACACTTGAAATGTTTACAAGGGCGCTCTTCGGGTGTTCCCACAACGTCTTGCCAGCGAGGCAGTGGACTTAGCGACAGTTTTTACCAAGTTTGGCGATTTTCTTTCGTTCTTAGATTGAAAATACTATTAAAAGCTCAGCTCATTCAGTTGTGTGAAGTGGCGAAAACCGAAGAGCTCAAGGCCAAACTAAAAAGTGTATATATGTGGGTACTGTTTTTAGTATTGGAGGCTACTTTGACAAGGACTAAAAGGAAATTGGTGAATAATTAATGACTTTGAGGAAACTGGAAATAAATTACGCAATATTGTGAATCCTTTTTCAATCACTTTTGCATTCTTTCTTTTTATCAATTTCACAAAAAAAGTCCACTTCTTCTCGTTCAGTGTGACAATAATTCGTGTCACCACTCAAAGATATCGTAATCTTTGGTTAATGTTTACTAAAAGCGGTAAGTATGTTTGTGTGTGTTTATAAGAATTTTCAACAGCCAATTTTCAGGCGCAGCTACAAAGCTCTGCTGCTATTGAGCCAGAATCTGAGTTGTACACCTAAAATACCCGTTTCATAGGTAATAATTAATAGATGTGCTATTCTAGACACACACATACACACACACACGCGCGCGTTTATTTATATATAACTCTATATTGCATATATGTATGTATATGTGTTTGTTGGTATGCATCGATTTAGGTTAAAATCGATCGCAATTTGTTGGGTACGCAGCGCAGCATTGAATGACAGGAATTTTAACGCAAACAGAAAC